TGAAGACACTCGACCTGAAAAGTATTTCAGTGTTTTCAAAGACATTCACTTAAAACAAAATTGGTGGAGAAAGTCAGAAAATGCTTTCTCCTTCAGGTTGAATTTGCATTTAGCAGAAGTATGGACTTTTTTTTTGCTTAAATAATAGCTGATGAGTTAAACAAATGGACAGCTAAAAGTTAAATATTTCCCTAGATATAAAAAATTCATAAGGATATTTTTCTTATGCATAGTGGTTATAAAAAAAAAAAAAGTTAAAGCCTCAATTCTTCAACCCGGCGAAGCAGTGGCACAGTAGGTAGTGCTGTCGCCTCACAGCAAGATGGTCGCTGGGTCGCTGGTTCAAGCCACGGCTCAGTTGGCGTTTCTGTGTGGAGTTTGCATGTTCTCCCTGCATTCACGTGGGTTTCCTCCGGGTGCTCCGGTTTCCCCCACAGTCTAAAGACATGCAGTACAGGTGAATTAGGTAAGCTAATTTGTCCGTAGTGTATGAGTGTGTGTGTGTGAATGTGTGTGAGGATGTTTCCCAGAGATGGGTTACGGCTAGAAGGGCATCCGCTGCGTAAAAACTTGCTGGATAAGTTGGGGGTTCATTCCGCTGTGGCGACCCCGGATTAATAAAGTAACTAAGCCGACAAGAAAATAAATGAATGAATGAATTCTTCAACCTTAAATTCTCAAGCCTCTGGTGCCTAGACTGCACATTTACTGTATGTTACACTGAACTAAACTAAACTCAGCTTCAACTATGACAAAGGTACTGAAGCAGTTTCAGTTTACTACAACTTGGTTATAGCTTCAAAATGCGCCACACATTCTCTATTGGATAAAGGTTGGGACTGCAGGCAGGCCAGTCAGGTACCTGTATCATCTTCCTCTGTAGTCAGGACTTTGTAATGTGTACAGAATATGGTTTTGCTTTGTCCTACTGAAATATGCATGGGTGTCCCTGGAAAAGAAAGCAGCATATTGTGTTCCAAAATCTCTACATAATTTTCAGAATTAATTGTACTGCACAGAAGTGCAGTAGTCCTGAGCCCATGTGATGATTTCGCTTATAAATGAATAAAGTTTCTTGATGCAGTGCCGCCTGAGAGATCAGAGATCACGGTTGTTTAGCTTAGGCTTGTGCCCTTCTCTTTTACGCACTGAAACTCCTCCAGATTCTCAAAATCTTATACAAATTTTTGTTTAATTACTAGCTCCTGTCACAACTTTTTTTGGAATGTGCAGCAAGTTTGAATAGCAGTAATGTATGCATATTTACAAATGAAATGAAGTTGACCAGACAACCCATGACATATTTTGTGTTCATATTATCTGCAATGAAAAACAAGTCAAAGTAAATTTGGAAATCGTTAATTTCTTCTTTCTTTTTTTTTTTTTTTTTTTTTCATTTTCCATACTGTCCCAACCTTTTTTCTGATTTGGCGTTGTAGGAAAACACAGCATTTTTCTAAATATCTTTTTTTGTTTGTTTAACAAGTGAAAAGTGAGTAAATTATAACTGAATTTTAGCATTGTGTGTATGTGTGTGTGTTTGTGTGTGTGTGTGTGTGTGTGTGTGTGTGTGTGTGTGTGTGTGTGTGTGTGTGTGTGTGTGCGTGTGTGCGCGTGTGTGTGTGCGTGTGTGCGTGTGTGTGCGTGTTTTTATCTGAACAAAGAGAGTGAAAATTCTTCCTTTTCAAAAAATAATGCATAACTTTCATAGAAAAAAAAGTCTTGTTGGTTTTTACTGTTGTCAAATTAATATTTTTTTTATTTTTGTTTATTGTTAATGGTGATTAGCCGAGCTCCAGCATGATTTGACATGTGCTTTCATAACTGGACTACTCAAGCAAAACAAAAACTCATATAGCAGTAATGCACATAACCATGCTTCTAATGCATTTTCATCCCCTTATGTAGTCATAACTTCACCCTCCCCCTCCCCCCTCCCTCCCTCCCTCCCTCTCTCTCTCTGTAAAATGTTTTGAGAGTGAGAAAAAAGCTCCATTAATGTTGGCGGTGCGTATGTCTTTGTGGGACTCCACTCGCTGCATGTACCCGCACTGCTGTTAGAGTTAAAAGTTGCAATTAAGAGTCTGTGTAATTGTGCTGGATTGAAGTGAAGCAAATGATCGCTTCAGGTGTTGTTGAACTCGGTGCACACGAGCACAACAATGTGCTTAATCAGTGCTGTCTGTTTGCTTTTGTTATGAGCAGCCAGCAGAATTTAGTTGTGTGACTTCTGTCTGGAATAAGTCAATACTTTTTCATTAACAGTGCCTTTAGGCTCTCAATGTGTCCACTCATGCCTCCAGCAATGCTCTTTAGCCACATGAACCCTGGGACTCGGACTGCGTTCATTGGTATAAGTGATTTAAAATGAATGATTTGTTTGCTTTCATCTCTGCAACGTATTTTGCTCTGAAATGTGGTTTCATTCATTTATTTATTTATTATTTTTCTTTTTACATTATCAAATGGTTTATAAATAAATAGCTGTATAGATAAATGGGTGAGATCAAGTCTAAAAAAAAGTGCCTGTAAGTGATTTTTATTGTGTTTTTATGATTCCCGTAGGCAAGGCCTAAAATGGATGATTTTTCAATTGTTGGTGAATTGAGAAAATATAAATATATATTTTAAAATGTATATATTATTAATATTATTATATATTTTAAATAGTGTTGTTGTTAATAATAATATTAATAATACAAATAATAATAATAATAATAATAATAATAATAATAATAACAACAACAACAATACTAGTTCAACAATCAGTATCAATACTAGCTAACACTTTATAAGCATTAGCAAATAGTGAATACATTAACAGTTAAGCAAAACGTTAGTTTATAACTGCAGCTACAAATGCTCTATTCTTGACTTTAAAGCACATTTAAACAACCCGGCTCATTGTGGAAACGTAGCCCCGCGGACGTTTCTGCGGACCGCGATTTAGGTCCCGGGAGGTACGTATTCGAGCGTTTTTTCCGCTCCGCCGACGCAACAATGTGAGCTAAGCGGACAAACTGATTGCATCGGGAAAGCCCTCCACTCGGAGGCGAGTCGTCGGCCGGCGAGCGCAAAGAGGAGGGGCGGAGCGGCGCCACACAGCCCCGCAGCGTTCGCGTGATTTTTTTTCCCAAACCAGTTCAGCGCAAACCACGCCCCCTACGCGAAAACCCCACCCCGCTGCTGTGACTCACGTCCGTGGCTCGATTTCATTGGTCCAGCAGCTCCAGCTTCATCACAATGGCAACGAACACAAACTATTTTTTAATAAAAGACCTAAAATACGAAAGGTTAACAAAGTGCGTGTATGAAATAAAACGTAGTACAAACAATCTACAGCTTATATAAAAAAGCTGTGTTTAATGAATAAAAATAGTGCCAAAAATACATGAAGTAAACACACACACAACAGCATCTTAACAATGAGAAAACTTTACTCAAGTACAAAAACCAGCAAAAAACACACAAAAATAATATTTATTTAAAAAAACATTTTTAATTATTATAAACTTAACACAGCCCCTGCATGCAAACATAACCTCTTTATCTTTCGCTGTCTAGTATAAAATAGTTAAATTGAAAGATTTATTCTGACAATATCTTGTATTAATTCAGAGAAGTGGGATAGGAATGTGTATAATTTGTTGTCAAAATTCAGATATTTTGCAAAATAACTTATTTTTTTAATTAAAGAATGTTACATTTGTCCAACAATTACACATGCTTATTGGTCTGTATGAAATATGGTATCAAATTTGAAAATATTTGAAATATATAATGTTTAATGAAACTAACAGGTCCTGTTAGACTCAAATTTAAAGAATTAAATGTTTTATTTCTATTGTCTATGCTTTGGGATTTGTGGATATTTCTTTTATAATATTGAGTAATAATTTACTGAGTAATTAAGTTTTTAATTAAATTGAATTAAAAAGTTATTTAAAATACAATTGTATTTATTTTTAAATTATAATTAGTAATAATCAATAATGAATTACGTTTTCAGAGTAACTTACCCAACACTGCACATAATCTGCATATCAGATGAAAATCAACTGAAGCACAAGTACATTGAACTATACCTGTTTCTATACAGAGTTTGAATGTTTAATAACTGCAAATGAGAACAACATATGTTCTGCAGGCCTTTCAAATAAGGCTTTCATTTAATGCTGAAAACAAGTTAAAATTGATCATAATATGATTCCTCTCACAGTACCTATTGTTTTACCTTTAATGACCAGAAAATGAGAATAATCAGTTGGACAGCAATAATATTCATTGTTAGAGCCCTCCCATAAAAAAATAAATAAACAATACACATTTTGGTAACACTTTATAATAACTACACGCTAATAATTTATTAAGCATTAGCAAATTTAATTCATCATTTGTTAAGCATTAACTCTACATTAACAGAAGTTAGTAAGCAGTTTGTAACTACAGATACAAATGCTCTATTCTTGATTTATAAGCACATCTATAATGTGCTTAATGATTGTATTTTCGTGTTTTGTTAATAATAATTTTTTCAATACTTAAGTATTGTATCATTTACAAACCAATTATTTGAGAGTACTTTGTGGCTTTTAAAGATCATTTAGAACACATAAGTAAATAATAAACTATTCAAATTAACATTTATATATCTTATTATTCAGGCATATACTAATAATTAATTTGTATGTTAATAAATGCTTTAGTATTTTAACTTCATCCAGTTTTGTGACCTAATCTAAAGTGAGGACTATTTTTGCTTTATAAATCCCTTATAAATAACAATTAAAGGCTCAGTTATCTTCTAAACAGGGGAAAAACACGACTTGATTTATTTCTTATCATTTGAAGATACATAAATGAATCTGCATCAAATGAAAAATACATTTTTGCAATCTTAACTAAAATAAAGTTACCGTACAGTTTAAACTTCGCTAAATAACATTATAATTTTGTATCATAATATATTGTTAAATATTATATTGTTGTTGTTTTTTTATCCAATTTTATGTCGTATTTTGACACTCCTGTTATTCGGCAATGTTTAAACTTTACAGTAATTTTATTTTTAGATAGGATTACAAAGGTGTACTGTTCATTTGACACTGAGCCTTGAATTGTCATTTATTAGAGATTTATAAAGCATAAATTGTCCTCACTTTAGAAATAGGTAGAGTGGCTCTTATAGGTTAGTTGGTTCTAGCAGAGGTGGCCAATCTTGGAGCTCAGGTGGTGGCATCGGTGGCTCTGGAAGCGTTGGCTATGGCAGCAGCAGATCTGCCAGCTCTAGCACCATGGGCTCTGGCAGTTTTGCTGGAATGGGTCTGAATGTGGTTGAGGCTTTGTAAGCGGTTCTGTTGACAATAACTCTTGTGAATCTGGCATCAATAGCTCTGGTGGCAACTGGCAGCTCAGGCTCTGACATGGTGGCATCTCAACAGAGTTAACTCTTGCGCACAGAGGTTGAGTAAGTGGGAATATGGGGTTCATTGTTCCTGAAAAATGAAAATAAATTACACAAAGAAACTAAAAAAAAATTATTTTTACAATTTTGACATTTCTAACTCACCTACTTGATCCTCCCCTTTTGTCTACAGTCTTTATCAAAGTGCAAACCATTTTTGCCCCACAGCATGTTTTTGGACAGCCGTTGTTGACTAGCCATGCCTGATCGAACATGAACATTGTGCTGGCACCTGTAATGAGCCTACAGGAAAAATATTAATTTTTAAATGTTTAAGTGTGCAGAAATGTTAGATATTTTTATTTTACATTTAGAAATTTCAAACGTTTACAACAATGATGCAGCAATATTCTAAATGATCTGTCAACAAAACATACAGGAAATCTGTAGGACATGTATATAGCATTTGTTTTCAGATTCATTCATTATTTTGATGAAGCATTTTTACCTAAAGATCACCTCAGATGAGATAAGTGAGTAAAAGTTTACTTTGTTCTATAAAAGCAAGGTTTTGTTGTTTTTGTGAGTATCCACAAATAAAAAAAAACAGTTGCTGCTTTGAATGGTCATTCTCTTATCTTTATGACCAAAATGACAGAATATTTGAAGATTTACACTGCCATTAGAAAAAAAAAATATATATATACACACACACACGCTCACGCACACACACACACACACATATATACAAGCATACCTGCAAGTTTGTCAATATCGTGAGTTAAAGCTTTTATGCAGTGAATATTGGATACTTTTAATTATTTAGCATTTAAATCCAATGAATAAATGCCTATCATCACAGACAAGCATGCAGGCAGTAAATCACTAAATGTCTCAGAAAGTTATAGGTTTATTAATAAGTGCTGTCATCAATATAACCATTGCAGCTATTTTATTTGCACAGACTTGTTTCTAGGTGGGCTGTCAACTCACAGAAATCCTATATATTTAAACTAATCAGAGGACGACTGAGGATCTTTAAAAAGATTTCCAGAAAAGTGTGCCATATGCATCAGAAGTTGCTTGGCATGATGTCTGAGGCTGAGACTATATGATTTCAGAATCACTGTGGCTGTGCATATGAAAATCTGTCTATCCAATCATCTATCCATATGACCTGTCCTAAGTTTATACAAATACTGGAGCCATCACAAGGGTAAAAATCTCACTGGACTATTACAAACCATTAACCAAGTCAATGTTAACTGAGATTTCTAACTGGCACACTAAAGCAAAATATATTAATAAACATCTCAATTTGTATGAAGAATCTAAAATGTTTTGAACAGTAGAACTATGTATGTTTACAATATTTACTGTAAAGTTATTTTCAGTGAGTTACATTTATATAGTGTAAAAAAGAATGAACTGATTTTACATTGTCCCTTTTTAGGTTTTGTCACTGCCACTTTCCAACTTACTCAAGGCTCACTAAGTTTTTTTACCCATTCCTTTACTTCCCAAATCTCTCAATGCATTTTTTAGAATTGCTTCAAAACATGTGTGGCCCAAATGTGATTTACTGTTTGTACGGCCTAAGCGATAGGTGCAGAAGTGTTATTTATTCTCAAGAGGCAACCAGTTCTGTAAAAGTAGAAATAATTTACCTGAAAGACTGTTCACCCATAAGCATTTTAACTGAGATATCCCAAAATTTTACAGTAAGCCAAGTTTATTACAATAAAAGTAATAATAATAATTTATATTATTTATAAATCTTTTAATGCTGTTCAAACGTTTGAGATCAATATTAGCTTTTTTTGCTCACCAAGGCTGCATTCACTTTAATAAAAATACAGAAAGTTGCATTATTGTGAAATGTTAATGAAATTTATAGTAATATTTATATTTTGATGTAAATCGATCATTTATTCCTGCGATGTGAAAGCTGAATAATCAACATTATTACTCTAGTCTTACACTATATGTATCACTCAAGTGTCACACCATAGTTCAGAAATCATTATAAATGCTAATTTATTTTCATTGTTGGAAACAGTTTAATTAAATTAGTTTTCAGTAAATAAGAAACGCATTATTTTAACTTCAGCATTTATTTAATTCTGTATTTTGGATTAACTGAAGCATCCTTCTATAAACAAAATTACAATCCTTGCTGATCCCAAATTTTTGAAAGACTGTGTACTAAATTTGTGTGTTAAATGAAAAAACAATGTATTTTTTACCTTTAGATCCGCAGCTTGGTCTTTGGGACTACAATCGTACTCTCCTGAGGGCAATCGAAAATGATAAAATAAAGATGAAATAAATAAAATGAACACTATAAAAAAAACATACACTCACATCTCCATGACTAAATTATTAATATTAAACATTATTAAGCAAGAAGTGTTTACCGTTTGTCAACGATAGATCCATTAGAGACGAACTTGATTGATGTGCACTCTGAACTTCTTTCTCAGACGACAAGTAACAACGTTGCCCAATGAAATCGCGCGTGTCACAGCTGCGGGGTGGGGTTTTCGCGTAGGGGCGTGGTTTGCGCTGAACTGGTTTGGGAAAAAAAATCATGCGGCCTTTACGTACTTCCGGCCAAATAAATTGCGGTCTCCAGAAACGTCCACGGGGCTACTTTTCCAGAATGAGCTTGAGTTGCATTTAAAATGTGGTTAATAATGGTTCTTTCATACTTTGTTACAGATTAATGTTTCATGACTAAATTAAATCTCACAATATTTACAACTCATTTGTGTTTAAGAGTAGTTTGGGGCTTTTAAGATTATTCAAAAGAAGTTAGTAAATGATTAATGAACTATTCAAATCAACACTTATATATTATTATTCAGGCATATACTAATAGTTAGTTTGCTTGTTAATGAATGCTTTATTAACTCAACTTCATCCAGTTTTGTGACCTAATCTAAAGTGAGGAGTATTTATGCTTTATAAATCTCTAAGAAATGATAATTAAAGGTTCAGTATCAAATGATCAAAAATCTTTGCAATCTTGTTAAACAAGTAAAAATACTGTGAAGTTACTGTTACTTAGATACTGTGTATCAAAAAACAACATCAAATTGGACAAAACAATAATAATAATATATTTAACAATATAGTATTCAACATTTCAATGTTATTTAATGATGTTTAAACTGTACAGTAATTTTACTTTCGTTAAGATTGCAAAGTTTTATTTTTCATTTGATACAGTTTCATTTGTGTATCTTCAAATGAAACGAATTGAATAGGGTAATACTTTATTTTGATGGTTGATTTGAGTATTAGTAGACTGCTTATTACATGTTGATACTGCTGCTAAACAGACATTTAACTGACTATAAGAAACTTTGCAAGTACATGTCAATTTACACTGACCCTAACCCCAACCCAACCTAACAGTCTACTTATAATCTAATGAAAGTTAGTTTGCATGTAGATGCATTGTAACTTAAATTCAACAAACGGACCATCAAAATAAATTGTGACCATAAAAAGTCCTCACTTTAGTTCACAAAACTTGATGAAGCTAAGTTAATAAAGCATTTACTAACATACAAATTAACTATTAGTATATGCCTGAGTAATAAGATGTATAAATATTAATTTGAATAGTTTATTAACCATTTACTTAAGCAATCTGAATGATATTTACAATATTTACAAGAAACTTCTCTCAAATAAATCAAATAAATGGTTTGTAAATGATGCAATTTTTTTATTTAGTAATCAAAAAATACTAAACAAAGTATGAAAATACAATCGAGCACATATGTGCTTAAAAGTCAAGAATAAAGCATTTGAATCTGCAGTTATAAACTGCTTACATTTGTTAACATAGAGTAAATGTTTAACAGATAATGAATAATCAAGCTTAATAAATGATTAATAGTGTGTATTATTATAGTTACCCAATACTACTACTACTACTACTACCACAGCTAATAATAATAATAATAATAATAATTATTATTATAATAATAATAATAATAAAAATAATAATCATTATTATTATTATTATCATTATTACTATTATTATAATTTTATTATCCTTATTTTTATCCTATCCTTATTTTAAATATACCATATATTACTAAATATAGTAATGTATGATATTACTGTCCTGTGAAGTATTTAATATCACAAACATTATTGTTTAATATTAATAATAATAATAATAATAACTATTATTATTATTATTATTATTATTATATTATTATTATTGTTATTATTATTTGTTTGTGTTTTAAATACTGTATATTACTGTAATATTACTGATCTGTGAAGTATTTAATACCACAAACATCATTGTTTAATATTAATAATAATAATAATAATAATAATAATCATCATCATCATCATAATTGATTTTATTATTATTATTATTATTATTATTATTATTATTATTATTATTATTATTATTATTATTATTATTATTATTATTAAAGATAAAGAAAGTTCAACCAACAGGCAAATAAAACTGTTTCTCATATTTGCCTGTTTTTACTTGCCTTTGGCTCTTTTTGAATAATAATCACAGGCATCGCCCCTAAGTGTTTAATTAAGACCACAGTCTTGCAAAGTTCATTTCATAGCTTGTTGCAACCGATTACAGTTCTTTTCTGAAAGTGATAAACCATTTTGAGCACAAACAGCAGCCAGTGATTTGACTATTCTCTTTGAAAAGCCTCTTTGATGTCATTCTCAAACTTGAGTCTTTAAGCATTGCTGTCAAGAGCTTTTTCATATTATGATGTCAGAGCTGAACTCTTAACTCGTGTTGAACAGGCGAGCTCAGGTTTGATGATTTCTGATTGCAGACGTGTTTATCTGCACCAGGCGTCCTCCCACCCTTTGATTCGCACACTTTTCAATCACAATTCTGTGATTCTTTGGGGAATTACACATCTCCCCCGTGGCTCTGAGATGAGGAAATGACTCCAGACAGTCACCTATATTACTCTTCTCTCCTCAATTAAGAGCTGGAGATGCTACTCTTGATCAGACTTTTTTGACTCAAGAAGAATTCATTAGCGCTCCTTTGACATGAGCGTCAGTGATCTGTTATCTCCCTGAGGAGACTCAGAGTCATATTGCTCAAATCAGGGTTCAGACATGCGGTGAGGAGACCGCTGAAGCCGAAACATCTCTGATGGGCAGATGAAGGGGATTAGAGTAGCAGAGTTCAGTCTTAAATTATAAATAAAGAGTAGAAAACAAATTAATATTCAACCAAAAATAAACAATAATATTGCTGTTCAATTTTAATATTCTAAAATGTCATTTATTGATTCCACAAAAGTATTTATATTTTCAGGAGTCATTACTTTAGTCATGATCCTTCATAAATCCTTCTAATGCCAAATCCGTCATTCCAACGAGCATTTGCAAAATGCCTAGCAAACTTAAATGCTTGTAACTACACCACTAGATATGTAGTTAGAAGCATAGTTCCTGGTTGTGTTCTATTCCCAGTTATCTGTTCCCTATAGGGGACCGATTATTTAAAAGCAGAATTTACGTTATTTCTCTAAAGCTTGTGAAAACAAAAATATATAGCATGCATCAATGGTTTTAATTTATGGTAGCTTATTTAATAAAAATGTATCTACTGTACAGTGTATGACATGGGCCTGTTGATTACAACATTTCTGCAGTGATTTGAATGGGTCAATTTGTAAAAGTGGATAAGTGATAATAATAATAATAATAATAATAATAATAATAATAATAATAATAATAATAATAATAATAATAATAATAATAATTATTATTATTAAATTTCCCAGTGATAGGTTGCGGCTGGAAGGGCATTCGCCACGTGAAACATATGCTGGATAAGTTGGCTGTTCATTTTGCTGTGGCGACCCCAGGTGAATAAAGGAGCTAAGCCAAAAAGTAAATGAATTAATGAATAATAGTGATAATAATAATAATAATAATAATAATAATAATAATAATTATTATTATTATTATTATTATTATTAATGTTATTATTATTATTATTATTAATGTTATTATTATTATTATTATTAATAATAATAATATTAGTGTTATTAAGTAGGATTATTTTCATTTCTTAATAAATAGCCTACTGTAAATTACAACCTTTAACAGTTTTTATAATTTATTTATGAGATACGAATACTATTAGTTAAGGTTTTATGTTTTAGAATAGAAAATTGAATATTCTCAATAATATTTTATTTGTAAAGGTAACATAGACTCGGTGTGCCGGTAACATATATTTCAATTAATATGGAAAATGAGTACATTTTTTTTTTTACTAAAGTAATTATTGGATTTTTTAAAAATGCATGTGCTTGTAAAACAATATTATTTGCACAAAAACAAACAACACAACACCAACAGCTAAAGGAACGTGCTGCATTTTGTCACAACACAAACAACTTAAGAAATGTTTCTTAAGTTGTTTCTGCTGTGATAAATTCAGCACGTATCTTCAGTTGTTTCAGTGAGAGAGTGTATAGGTGTTTCTTAGTGCTGGATTGGCATCCACCACAAAACTAGGTCGACTGGTAGGACATCCACCACATCGAACATATGCCAGAGTAGTTGGTATTCTGCTGTGGGACTAAGCCAAGGGATAGTGAGTGAGTAAAGTAATTTCAATTCAATTTCAATTTCAAGTTGACTGACATCGATCATCAAACAATGGAGATTGATGTAAGCCAATTGGAGATTGAAGTCAGTCTGATGTGTTCTGACATCAGTTCTTCAACATTGGTTAGTCTTCAGACCTACTTCAATGTCTAATGTTGTGTTCTGAGGTAAATCTGAAACGTTGGAGACTAAAGTCAGCCTGATGTTTGGATTTGATGTCAACCCAATTTTTTATTTGAAATTGTCCCTAATTGATAAGTTTTTGTCAAATTTTTTAAATCTGCGCCTTGATTTTGTCACAATCAAGTTGATGAAGTTAACATTGGGTTAAGACTTTCAATCTCCAATGCTGGGTTCTTGAGTAGACATTTAAACAACATGGAGATTGATGTCATAACCCAATGTCTATCTTGCATTTTAAATTGGGTTCTGACGTCAGTCTTCAATGTTGGATTATGATGTGAGTATGACATCTAACTTTCAGAGATTGACATCAGTTTGATGTTGGGTTCTGATGTCCCAACTTTAAAGATTGACATCAATCTGAGCTGCCATCTGATTGTTTGAAGTTGTTTCTTAATTGATATCAGATTGAAGTCAATCTCCAACATTGCATTCTGACATCAGTCCGACATCTAAACAATGTTGGAGATTAATGTCTGACTTTAGGTTCTGTTATCAACCCAAGTCAACAATCAGTCATTGGACATTGAGATCAGAACCCAACATCAGGCTGAGTATCCAATGTTTGTAATAAGCTGAATTTTCATTGCAAATGAAAATTGCTTTGACTTCCAAACCCAACCTCAGACTGTTGTCAATCTCTAGATGTACATCAGCAGTCTCCAGCCTTGGTTCTAACAGCAGTCTGGGGTTCAGATGTCTATCTCAAAGTATAAACATAATTGTTGATTTTATTACATCTGCTGCTTGATTTT